AGTGATTTGCCCAGTAACTAGTGATGAYGCTAAAGAGTAGGTATTCCATATCTCCCTCCTATCCTGAAATAACAAGGAGAGGTAGATTTCATCAGCATGGCACCAAGGGAAGTAGTTTGTGTTTGGAGGAATGGCTGTACCAGGGGCTCCTGGTAAGGTTATCATAGAATCATGAAATATCCTGTGTTGGAAGGGAACCACAAGGATCATCRAGTCCASGTCCTAATGGATATGGGCAAAGTGTCTTTCACTTCACATCAATGCCAATAATTTGTCACTCTCAGAATTGTTTCACTGGTTCATTGGGTTTTCTTTTTTCCTCATCCTGAGTTGATGGTGCCTGTTCTGACCTACAGAATGAGGGAGGAAGCTTTCTGGTTAAATTCAGCCCAAAAAAGAGTTATCAATTAATGGAGAAACTCCTTGGTCTGTACTGACAGGCAGGTGACACTGGAGATCCCAGCAGTGGTAGTTCCTCTTGTGTCTCTGTTTGCATCTGTTGTGGTTTGTGAGGCTGGAGGGAAGGACTGGCTTTTGTTTGGGCTGCTTTGGAATCATTTAGCAATGGTACACAGTCCTGTTGGATCAGTCTGTGGGGACTAGAAACACTTTCTTTTTTACCTAAAATGCTCTCTTTTGGAACACCTATTTGGTTTTGTATTTTTTCTCAGATTTTTCTTTGTAAATATGTACATTTATCATTAATAAATGTTATTGCAAATCAGATCTTTCTCTCCACTGCTTATTAACCAAAAAAGCTATATATGACCTGTGTTAATGATTTCCTTGAGCTAACCCTCAGTATTCCTTTCTCAAAGCAGGAACCATCAGACCCTGTTGCCTTGCTGGTGGCATTCAGGGTTTTAGGTCTGCTGGATGCTCTTGGATGTGGGTTTGGTGCTTCTGGGGAGAGGGGGCACAGAAGACTTCAGCTGTAAGCTCTCAAACTGGCCAGAATGATTCAAATGAGGATTAAATCCAGCTTGATTTAAGACAGGCTTTGTTTACTGGAGCCTTCTACTAAATGCTTAATAACATTCTAACACCTCCCTCTTCGCTTCACAGACTGAATGGTAGGAAAGATCAATTGCAGAGAATTGTTCTGAGAGCAGAAATGAGACAGGTCCTGCACAGCTCAGCTACAAGAGCCTCTGTCCACCTGTGGTGTGTTAATCTGGGGACAAAAATGCTCCTTTTGGGTTTTGTAAGTGAAGAAACCACATTCCTAATGAACCACCATTCCTCATCTCGGTGAKACGACACAAGCTTCTGGTGGGGTTTGGCTGGTTGAAGCTCAGGTTGTGTTTCAAGGCTGGGTCAAGAGTCAATTTTAGCTCCAAGTTTTTTTCTGTGAGATTCTTTTCTTTTGGACAAATCATTTGGCTCATCCTGTGCTGTCACGAGTGATCACAGGAAGGCAGATCTGGCTGCTCATGCTGCTGGTCCCAAGATGAGCCTGGCAGAGCTGGAACTTGATTTATGGAATGAGGGAAGTGGAAAGAGCAGCACAAAATAGATGGTTTTTATAAACAGTGATTTTATCCCCAGTTTTCATCTGCTGCTCATGCACTAAGGCAGCTCTTGCAATGCTGTTACTTTGTTCTCTGCAAAGGGAATTGGGAATAAGAAGCCCTTCATGTGAGAGTACCTGTCCCACAAAAGGGTTGGGAAGGGGAYCAGGGTGGGTGGGCAGAGGAATTATATTGCCCAGTTATATTGCTGATAATTTAAGTCTTGATCTTGAGGTTGTTTCATGTTGCCAAGTCGTCAATGCAATGATTGGAGGTGGTTGCTGTGTGTTGTGTAATATAATGGATTCTTGTTCATGACAGAATTTAATCTTTTGAAGCTTTGAGCACACTGTATTTTCTAGCATTACTTTTCATTTTGGTCAAAATCTCTTTTACTCTTCTGTCATCKGAGTAGGCTGGTCAGGATGTTGTGRTCAGATCAATGGCAATGAAAACATCCAYTGAAAATCACAAATCCATAGGTAATGTCCATCCTTTTCGATGCCAGGATTTGTTGAACAGCGTCTAAACTTTTTAATTTTTACTTTAAGGCAAAGCAGTCTGTAAGGCAATGACAGGTACTGTAAAAATAAGGATCTCTTGTTTTCTGCTTTATAATACTTTTTACTCAAGTGCTTTGCCAGCTGTGAGATTGAGCATCAGTTGATCTGGGAGCGCTCTCTGGTGAGTGTGGTTTGCTGCMAAAGCAACATCATCTTGTGCATCCYTAGACAGTGACTCCAGGCCTGGGAGCTTCTGTGGATCCTTGTTTGGGGATAATCTAATAACAGTGTCAACAATTCAATTGCCATGGAACAGGACTGGGAAGTACTAACCAGCTGGGATTCCTAGCAGTACATGTGGGGGCTATAGGGAGTTGCTGTGCATGATGACTTCATGGTTTTAGCAATTTTTATTAAATAGTAACTGGCAGTTGACATCATTTTAGCACTCCTTACATTTCCTGCAGGATAATTGTCTGATTTGGGGTGGGAATGATGGAATATTCTACTGAGAGAGGTAGCAGCGTGAAAAAAACATCCACTCTGACAGCACAGGGCAGCCAGCTGATACAAATAKATCCTGATCCAAAACAGCAGGTTCTTGAAAAAATACAGGGAGACCARTTTATACAAAACCACTTCTCAAGAAAAAGAAATTCTTTTGGCACTGGTATCARCCATGCAATTAAGCCTGTTATTAATTTATCCCCAGTTTGAATTATTGTGTGTCAGTTCACAGTGCAATGCTTTGGCTGTATCCTCAGGTGCACAAAGATTTGTATTTCAAGGGTGATGCTTTAGCTGTATTCATGTCCAGGTTTGTTTCTTCTGGGACATTGCATCCTGTTCTGTATTTTATTTACTCTGTGTTTGGCTGCTTCATGCTTGATTTAGGCTTTGCTGGTTTGGGGCTGTGTCCCTGGAATTAAGTAGCTGGCAGTCCAGGCACCTCTCAAGTTTCCTGGGTCTCAATGAGAGCTTGGAACTCTGCAAATCTGAGCCCTAAGCAAAGGGATGCTTTTGCATTTGCAATTTAAAACAAATCTTGATAAGATCAAAATTTGTAGCAGATGCTGAAATTCCTATGGGGAAGTTTTACACAGATAATTTTATCTAGAATCAAATACCTTCCCTTTAGTCTTATCYTCTTAGGAGTGGAATAAAAAGGCAAGGCAAAGAGTGCTTCTGATCAGTTGATCTTATCAGGATTTTATTCTCTTTCCAGCTTGCATGTTTGCTGCTGCACTTGTCTCTGCTGGTTACCAGTGTATATGTGCACGACACAGGCTCCTTTCCAGCTTTCTCTTCCTTTATGCATCTGTCATACAAGATGATTCCAAAACACAAAAATTATTTTCTCTGTCTCTGAYAGGGAACTGGGAGGTTGTTTTGACTGTGTAAAGATTTTTGCCTCTTAAATACATCAGTGTTTGTGTAGCTGCTTAATCTTTGTTTCATCTGCTTTGTTTTATCTGTGATTCTTTTCTTGGTTGAGTAGTGCCCCAGCTCTTACGTAAGGAAATCTYACTCCTAAGGCATGTTCCATTAAACCCCAGAAGGTGAGCTGTGTCTTCTCAAGGTCYCATGAGTAATTTGCAACATTTAGCACATATAATTAAGGGAAGATCATGATTTTGGCAGTATATAAATTCAAGTTTTAAACCAACAAGAYATGACTGTACAAAGCTGATATTGCCATTCATGTTCTGTTTTGTGGAGTATTGCAATGTAGTGTCTTGTCTTAGGAAATGAGGGTGGAATCTGGATATGGTATCATAGAATATCCTGAATGGGAAGGGACCCACAGGGATCATTGATGCAACCCCTGTGCTGCCCAGGATACCCCAGCAATCCCACCCTGTGCCTGAGAGCATTRTTCAAGATCCTGCAGCTCTGGCAGCCTTGGGGCTGTGCCCATTCTCTGGGCAGTGCCAGCACCCTCTGGGGACAGAAGAACCTTTCCCTGCTCTCCAGCCTGAGCCTGCCCTGGCCCAGCTCCAGCCCTTCCCTGTCCCTGTCCCAGGGAGCAGAGATCGGAGCTGCCCCTCAGGAAGGAAGAGGAGCTGGAAACTGCCTTGAGGTCCCCCCCTAAATATTGGAGGAGTACACATGGAAGTGGGTTTGGGTCAGAATTACCTTTCCCTGTGAGCACAGTCTGACCTGCCCACCTCAGTGCTTCTTGCTCTCCCTTCACTCCTGTTAAATGCATTTGGCTAAGCAATATCCTGACAACCTAAGAGAAGCACAAGAGGCTGGAAATCCTAATGGATAGAAATCTTAAGGCTTATCTGCATTGCAAGAGAAGGAAGCAGAGAAAAATACCCATGAGAAATTGGGGAAGAGTAATTTCTCAAAATGATACTAAGAAAAGTATCTGTTTGTTCCTACATAAAGCAGCTTCTGCTCTTACCCTACCATTGAGCTGTGCCATTAAGGGAGGYCAGTCAAGGTGAAAGCCTCTGGTGTATAAAAAAATGCACCATACCAAATAACCCACATGCTTCAGGCCTCACATTTTAAGCACAAATTAAATTTTTTTGGTTGCCCAGGGAATCTTGTTAGAAAGTGAGGCAACAGTTTAGAGGAGTCAAAAGCAAAATTTGGATGGTTTTTGAGTATTGGGTGGGTTTTGTTGCCCGTGGAAGTTTTGGATGTGCACAAGTCCCCACTAAAATTATTCCAAACTGAGCAAAAAGTGCTTAGTGGTGGCTTTTCCTGTAGGTCCTGAGAATTGTTTTCATATTMATTCTTTAAAATTTAGGAGAGTGGATTATTAATGTACCAGGAAGGCTGTGTCAGTAAATGCTCTGGATGTGTAACATAGCACAAAGGTTTTCCAGTGTCCAACCCCACTGTTGCATGTGTTACTGTGATGTATGGTAAGAACCTGATGTTTTGCCTTGATGCCTCCTGACCTCCTGCTCTCCCTAACTCCCTGCTCTCTTTCTCTCTCTCTGGCCTTTTTTGTGTATCTGTTTCTTTTTAGAAAATGAGTGACTTTCTTTCCCAAGAGGATGTGGCTGCAGTGCCAGAGTGGAACAGTTTTAACCCTGGCTTTGTGTGGGAGGGCTCAAAGCATTCAGTAGCTCTTAGTGAGACTCCAGTGCCACCAGCCTCACAGCCTTCTCCCAGCTGGCACTTAGGTGTTCCCTCCCTAAGCAGCAAGGAGGAGGAGGAGGAGGAGGAGGAGGAGCAGGAGGAGGTGGTTCCCAGCCTCTCTTCAAGCAAGGAGGACCTGACATGTGGAAAGGGGGTTTGTGTGGATGTGGAGAAAGACTTGAAGTTCTCTGAGCCAGAGCTGCTCCCCCCCAACCCTGCCACACCTCCCCAGCAGCCCTGGGGAGGAGAGGAGGAGGAGGAGGAGGTGGCAGAGGACGGTGAAGACAGCTTTACCTTTAGAAAGCCACATGGCAAATGTCCCAACCCCGATGCTCCTAACAGGCTGCCGGAGCTCATTCGCTGCTTCCAGGTAGTGAGCACAGATCCTGCACCCCATCCCCTGGCTRCCTTTGGAGTGGGAACCCAAACACTGCAGCAAGCAGATGCCAGAGACACGCACAGGAGTTGGGTTTGCTTGGCTTGGAGTCATGCTTGGAGCTAACAAGCCGGTGAATCTCCTCCAGTCAGTGCAAAGAGCCCCTCTCAATTTATCTTTGATTCAATAGGAGCCACTGTCAATTTGTCTTTGCATTAAATACAGGTCCCTCTCAATTTAGCTTTGCRTGAAATACAGTTGCTGCATCACAATGCCCTTTGCTCTTCTTGAATCAAACCATCCTGTGGCATTCCTCAAAATGGGCAGTATTTAGTCTCAAAACCAATGTAATTTTAGCTTCTTAGAGATTTTGCTGTCTCCAGCTGGATTGATGGCTGACCCTCAGCACAGCAGAGCAAATTTGAGGTGCTGTCAAGTGTATTTCAATGCCCCCTTTGGGCTCCCCACTGTGGGAGGGATTTTTGCCTGCTCCAGTGTTAATGTTGCTTTTGGTTCAATAGATGCCCRTTTCCCCCTAATGATCACGGTGGCACCTGGCAGGGTTGGGGATGGTGGCAGAAATCGAGYCCTCTGGGAAAGCACTGGGTCTGAACTAACTCTCTTCTTCTGGATAATCATCAGGTGGTGAACAACTGATTTCTCTTCTCCCCGCCCTTATTTTTCTTTGTTTTATCTGACATTGATTTAATAAAAGTTAAAGATCTGATGAGGATTTTTAGWAACACAGTGTTGCACTTGAGGTCAGAATAAAGCTGCTCAGCTGTGATCAAGTCTTTGTGTGCCCGGGGTTGGTGTTAATCCTGACACTGGCATCAGCAGATGGGGGTCATCTTCTCCTGGCAGCTGGCAATGAGCTTCTGGGAATTAAAAAGTTAAGAATCAGTGGAAGCAGCGGCTGTGGTGTTGTGACACACCTGTTAAACCCTTAATGCCTGGTTTGGGCTGACCAGAGTCCATGGTGTGGGGAAGGGCTGGAGGATTTTGCTGCCTGTCTTAATCCCCACACCCGCTCTCTGCCCTTGCAGCAGTGTGTCGTACCAGCAACTCAAACCCAAAGATTTCCAGGCTGACCTTGGTTTCCACAGTGCTTTTATCAGATCAGTGTCAGAACACTTGCTGGCAGCCCAGTCAGGATGTGGAGATGGGAGCTGGGTGTTTACACAATGTTTTTAACCCTGTCYCACAGCCCCCGCTAGTGAAGACACAGACTGTCACCATCTCCGACGTGTCCAGCGCCATCAAAAGTGAAATTCCCACAAAAGAGGTCCCCATTGTCCATACAGAAACGAAGACCATCACCTACGAAGCTGCACAGGTAAGGTGTGTTCTGATTAATTTCCCAGGGGCTTAATTAAACTCAAGTTTACATTTTGTTTCCAAATCCTAAGGATATGACAGCAGTACTTGCCCTTCTCTGCACATCTGACTGCAGCACAGGCATTAACTGATGCTGTGGACACTATTTCCAGGTGCATCTGGTATTTTTAGAGGAGTGATGGTTTTGCTATCCCTGAAGGGTAATTATTTTTTCAAGATGTGCTTGCAAACAGAATTTATCTTCAGCCACTGGAAGTTTTGGGATGTGGATTTGCCTRTACAAAGTTAACCTGAGTTGGTCTTGTTTCTGCGAGAGATGCCTTGTCTTGTTTTCCCAGCAGCCCTTGCTGTTCATGCCTCTTTGGAACTTGATTTATAAATTACTTGGTCATCCTTGAGGTTTCAAAACTGAAACGGTTGTTGAACACCAAGTGTTTTGTGTAAAATGCAGCCTGARTGGGTATGTGGTGATTAGAAAGTAAAAATGTTAGTGGAGTGGTATCAAGATATGCAGGTATGGATTCATTACTGAGATTACAATTAATGCTCAGTCTAAAACAGATTTTAATCATAGAATCACAAGATGGTTTGGGATGGAAGGAACCTTAGAGCTCRTGCAGTTCCAGTCCCCTGGACACCTTCCACTAGACCTGGTTGCTCCAAGCCCTGTCCAGCCTGGCCTTGGGCAGACACTTCAAGGGATTAAGGGGCAGCCACAGCTGCCCTGGGCAACCTGTGCCAGAGCCTCCCCACCCTCACAGGGAAGTATTCCTCCCCAGTATCCCATCTATCCCTGCCCTCTGGCAGTGGGAAGCCATTCCCTCCTGTCCTGTCACTCCAGGCCTTTGTCCAGGGTTCCTCTCCAGCTCTCCTGGAGCCTGTTTAGGCTCTGSAAGGGCTTTATGGTGTCCTRRAGCCTTCTGTTCTCCAGGCTGAACACCCCCATCTCTCCCMRCMTTTATTTATGTATTTGAGRTTTTGGAGGCTGTGTCAGCTTGGCTTTGCCATCACTGTGGTTGTCAGCAGCAGCGTGGGCTCTGCTGTTGGAGTGAAGGGACTGTGGGGTATTGTTTTGGGTTCAGGCATCTCGTGATTGTGTGATTTGGGAGTCCTAAGGAATCCTGTGGCTGTTCAGCATCCTCCCCAACTGCAGGGTCAGAGGGATCATTCAGACAGTGGTGGTGAGCATTGCCCTGGCTTTTAGCAAGTGAGCAAGTGAATTGAGGAGTTGTGCTCTAACTGAGAAATGAAAAGTGATCTCCAGGTCTSAGATCAGTTGGCCATGTGTGCACTACGATGTGATGTGCCATGAGATCTCTTCCAGACTATAAAATGATCCCATCTTGTGGTAATTGCAGATATTGTCCCAGTGCCGAGCAAGGATGCTGCCCAGTGGGGACATGGACAGCATGGCCAGGATGACTTAGTTTGGGGTTTTTGGCAGACCTTGAGTGGYTGACTTAGGCAGGATGAGATCCAAGAACCAGCTTTAAAATTTATTCTGGTTTCAGCAAATGTCTGGGTGTTCATTGCTTCTGCAGAMCATAAAGGGAGGGATGTGCTAGGTGCTGTCAGAAGGGTGACAAGTACCTTCTGAATCAGATTGTGCTCTTGGCTTTGTGGATCTCCCTGGATGCAGGCAGGTGGAATTTGGGATCAGTGTCTGCACTGGTCTCCTGTTGTGGTTCAGGCATTGACAGTATGACCAGCACTGCATAGCCAGCAGCGTGCCCTCCTGCTCTGAGGGGTGCAGGATCTCTGCTTTTCCAGYCTCAAAGCCCAGGGAGTTTTGAGTTTTCAGAGACATGCCCAGCTTTTGTGCACCTGGGCACAGGCTGACTTGTTGTGTCTTGTGGTCCACAAAGGAGCTTTTTTCCTCAGATTGTCCTCTGTCCTCCAGTGATGTGGAGCCCCTGCTTGTGTCCCCAGTGCTCAGGGACTGATGGCCTGTTCTTGTGTCCCACAGACAGACGGTGGCAATGGGGATTTAGACCCTGGTATCCTGCTGACTGCCCAGACCATCACTTCAGAAACCACCAGCAGCACCACCACCACCCAGATCACCAAGGTAACACCAGGAACCCCACAGGACACCCATTCAAACAGCAGCCTGATGGACAGATGGGCAGGGATGAATGAGAGAAAAAAAACACTTTTGGAAGTTCCTTTCAAATATATGATTAGTACCTGGAGCAAAGCACGAGGGGTTCTGTTTTTCCTGTGTTAAATCTGTGGATTGTGCATTAATTGCAGCACAGTCTGGACACGGGCTGTGGCYGTCCTGTGGGACAGCAGGAAGAGCTGTACTCTGAGGAGAAGCTCTTCTGTGGCTCACATATAAAAAATGACTATTTGACAGTTTTTACTTGAGCAGCAGCAGTTTCCCTGTGAGTCTGATGCTGTGGTACAATGGCACTATTTGGTGACACTATTTTTGGATACTGTCTTTAGATAGGCAGCCTCAGTAAGCTCAAACTCCTCTGCATTTCTACACTTAGAACAGCTTTTCCTTCTGTTCTAGACTGTGAAAGGTGGCATTTCAGAGACACGGATTGAGAAGAGGATTGTCATCACAGGAGATGCAGATGTAGACCATGACCAGGTAGGAGTGTAGTAGCAGATGTGATCCAAAAAAGCTCCCCAGAGCTGGCAAAAATCAGTCAGGCTGCCTGTTCAAAGAAAACATTGCCAAAAGATGACCCAGGGAAACTTTACTGGGGTAGAAATAAAACTTCAAAATGCATATTTTTATAAATTGTGGCTGCTCCATCCCTGGAAGTTTTCAAGGCCAGGTTGGACATGGCTTGGCACAGCCTGSTCTWGTGGAAAGTGTCCCTGCCCATGGCAGGGGGTGGAATGAGATGAAGGTTTGGGACCATTCCCAACCAAACTRTTCCATGATTCTTTATCAGTAATAAATTCCTTTTTGATATTATGTAGCTGAGCCAGCAAAGCTGAATTCTATTCTGAACCTGGTTTTGGCAGCAAAATTTTGATTCCAGAATTGTTTTGGACAACTGTAGGGTTATTTTTTTTTTAATCTGTAAAAACGTGAAATAAAAGTTTTCCTTGACATCTGGCTGATCTGTGTTTATTTTCCCATAACTTTGAAGCACTATTGCTATTCTACAGTGCCAGAAGTAATTTTGGAGCACTCAGCACCTGCATTACATCTCTTTGGCTTTATATGAAACCTTYCTGATGACTCAGCCTCATTGGCCTCTTGCATGTGTTGGAAGTGATGATTTTGTCATCAGGGAATTATACTTTGAATTTATATTTAGTTGCAAGTATTGTGGGGGTGGAGAATATTCTTTTGACAAGATCTAGTTTATTAACTCCAACAGAAAATGTCTGAGATGTCTGAAATGTGCCTATCATACTTGCTGGAAGAATAAGCAGCATTGACTTAATTRGTCTCATCCATCTTCTCCCATGAGAAAGGGGAGAGATGGGGTATGTTCTTCAAATACTGCTTTTCAGAAATAAAGTAAAAGCACCAGAAGTCACCAAAGTGTGTGGCTGAAGTCCTAGGGGCAATTTTGGGCACCACAA